ACTGCCAGCAAATAGTCCCCCTCGAGAGCAGCCTCGCGATAGCTAAAAACATAATGAGCGACCTCTTTCTTATATCGGGCTACACGGAGGAAAGCTGCCCGTGCATCGCCGACGTCGTTATCCATCTCGTGGCCATGAAGATAGGCGACCTTGGGAATAACACGCGCGTCGTTTACAACAAGAGCCACGTTAAGCACTTTCAGACGCTGCCCTGGTGGTTCAAGTCCAGCGTCCTCATGGATTATACGGAGCGGCTGGGATACGGGAGGGATAAGGATGAGAACGAGCGGGACAACGACTACGAGATGAGCTTCGAGCGTGAAACTTACAGCGTGAGTAATCAATTGGATGCATCTCGGTTATACCCGTCTTTATGCCGAGCTTCATTATGCCCGACTTGCCCAGATGGAGCAATGACGGCCCAAGGCTTACTAACCAAGAGTACAAAATATTACGAAATTTCAAAGCACGTGGAGGGGATATAATGCTTTAAGCCGTTAAATTTCGAGTTAACGAGCATTGCAGAAGCTCGTCGTCCTGCCCGTCTAATCGTATATTCCACGCATAAATGTAATATGTCGTTTGTCGGCAGGAGATGGAGCGGCCCGGAGCGAGCAGTTCGCTTTTGGAGCTGGAGTGCGACATCGACGAGCTGAGCGTAACGTGCCACCAGCAGGACGAGGAGATGACACTGATCGATTATTGCCGGAAGACCCGCAGCCAGATCGCGGATATGCAAGAGGCGACCGCGAGGCTGGAAAAGCAGCTGGAGGAGCAAAGGCTCAGGAGTCGGTTGTTCGAAGCCAAGCTGAAGGAGGCATTGGAGGACGGGCCTACGGAGTCTGGAAGCTGATGACCTTTCGGGCGCAAGACGATTCAGATCGTTCCGCCCGAACATCCGAGGCTCCCGAGGCCGGCGCGGCTCTCCTAATGGCTTGTATATAAGTGAATTGAAATTTCATTGTCAATTATAAGCAATAATGATATATAATGGGTAACTTTGTTGGTCGTCTCTGTGTTAACTCGAGCACTACGTGCCTTTATTAATTCCGAATTTTTGCTTAATATTATATCTAAAGAAAGGTTTTCATCCTTTGAAATATTCCTGTTATTTCGGTCCTTGTGAAATTTCAAGCGTCTCTCGAGTCCCCTCGAATGAATAATAATAATAATCGGCCATTAATATTGATGATAATTTTTGGTGAATTATTTATTTGTTAAGCACATTTCTTGATTTTAAATGCTATCGACGTATTAAAACAAGGATCATCAAATATTTATCAATTCAATGATGTGATACAATACTGATTATATTATCGAGTGACAAACTGTACGAGCAATTCTTGTAAGAATATATATGGCTTTCCTACCTTCTCATAGACTATGTTATTTAATAGACACAAGGTACATGCGAATTTCATTTAATAAAAGATGATACATGGTTATAAATGAATTATTTAATAATAAAATATTTTTTATAAAAATTTAACTGTATATTTCTCAATTCAAGGAAAAGAGATTCTCATTTTGAATTGCAAATATGTATTTGTCGTATGGAGGAACATCAAACACTCTCAAAGACACACGTATCAATGGACAAAAAGCTTTTTCTTGTTAAAAATATTTAGATAAATAGTTACTCAACAAACTACTTATCTCTTGGATTATTTTTGATCGAATGCAAGTAATAATAGTTATAACCAACAACTGAAAGATTTAAAATGATTAGATATTAGAAAATTAAGGAACGCCTGTGTCGATATGTCGTGAATAAAATATGTAAATACTTCTCATTGAAATGTTCGCGTCCTGTAATCATTTTTCTACACACGTAACATATCATTTGTCCACACTTGCATATTATTTTATTACAGCCCTTATCTTTAATAAACCTAGTTTTACAATTGTAACAAATTCTAATTACATCCTTACTCAATCGTTCTTCATTATATACACGAAGGGCATGTTCCTTGGCAACTTGATCACATAACAAAGGCAGATGATTTTCTTTTCTGCACAATCTAAAAACAAATAGTCAACTTATTAATAGCAATTTGATCGGTGAGAAGCAATAATATATATATAATAACGAAAAGGTATTGCCACCTGCAAGAAATTTGCATGCATTCGAAATTTTTACAATAGATTATTCTGAATTCTGGATCTATTTCGATCCAAAAGTTACACAATGGACAAGTAACCAAATTTTGTATGTTAGCCCGCAAAATTTCTCTTTCTTGCTGTTGTCCTTCCATCATATTAAGTATATAAACTGGCAAAATTTTCTTCATAGTCTCAATACTAAATTCAACTGGGCAATTTGCAAAACATTGTAGAGACATCTTGCCGTTTCTCATATGCATATAAAAACCTTGAATAATACATTTTTTACAAAATTTATGATTATTTGTACAACTGATAGTATCCATCAATTTGAGATTGTCACCGTAGCAGCATAAGCATTCAAACAACACATTATCCTTAGTATACAAATTATTAATTAATAAACTGTAGAATATTAATATTATTCTATAAGAAAATTTTAACTGAATTGTAATAATAATATTTTACCATTGTTTCTTTTTCATTTTTCAGTTCCAAGCTTTTCATTTTCAATTCGATTTTCTCTTTATTTTGAATAAATGCAATTTCTTGTAATAACAAGAAATTGTCGGATTCAATTTTAGCCATTGAATGGCTAAAATAATATTTACATGACAATTTTAAACATTTATCTGTTAAACTTAAATTGTATTCATTTTCTTTATATGTATTAAGTATCTGTGACTCCTAAAAAATAATACTTGTAGTATCTTGATTTTTATATATTAAAAATAAAAATCATATATAATTATGAAATACATTTAAAAAAAACAAGAAATTTATGTATATATATATATATATATAATCACAATTATTTTTCAGAATAAATTTTTCCACATATACAATCATAATTATATATAATTTTTGATAATTGAACATAATATACAAATGAACAAACTAATGTTTGAAAATATTTATGTTTTAAATAATCATATGCTAGGTCACTGTAATTTTCTGTTCGGAGCGGATTTTCAAAAAATAAAAACGGTTCGGGATATTCCATGATAAATTGTTCTACATTAAAACCATCCGTACATTTATTGATTGTCGTTCTCTTTCTTAATTTAACAAAATAATCATTTCTTTTTGGAAATTCCTGACATATCAGACGGTCGTTTATAAGCTGATTCAAATTCGTTTCATTTCCATCACTGTCCTTCACCAACTGTTCAAGATAATTACGATCGGCATCTGTAAACATATTCGATAAAATATTCACTTTCTCCTCAATAATTTCAGGATCAGTACGCAGAAATTCTTGAAAAAATATATCATTTTCTACTGTCGCAAATAGATTATTATTCTCCATGTATGCAAGAAGTATAATCGATAAACCGATAATAAAATTGCCAAAACTCTAGCTAATCGACTACTTCTTCTCTATTATTATTATTATTATTATTATTGTTGTTGTTATTGTTGTTATTGTTGTTGTTGTTGCTCTATGTGGTGATGATGATGATAAAGATTATAATAATAATAATAATAATTCACAATGATGTATAGTTGACGTGTTATTGAAAGTTTTAAATTAATTTTTGAATATTTATCGGTTATTATCTAAAAATATAAAAATGTTTTTATCCTTATAGTTCATTCTCTAGCGATCATAATATGATCGTAAATTTTCGAAATTAAATAAATACTTTTAATGTAATTGTTAGAATCTAGTAAATACTTACTAATACTTGCTACGATTCAAACTTATTCTTCTCTTTTTATTAAAGCAAAAATTAAAATATATCAAAATTACAAAAAAATTAATATGTGTCTATGTACAACTTAGAATCGTTTTCTGAAATATTATTAATATCTAAAGTTGTTTGTTCTTCATTAAAGGAACAAAAGAACTGTGAGTGGAGCGTAATTCTTCACTCAGATTCTAATATTATCGATCGTGTTTTGTTTAAAAAAAAAAAAAAAAAAACAATCAAAGTACAATGGCAGCATATTACATTCATCATTAATCTTATAAAGAAATACGAAACGCTGACCAATCATAAATGCATGTGAGAAGAATGGAAGGGACATTTGAAGTTTTCGAGGGGCGGAGACGATATCCAATAATACCCGATAATCTGGTCCAACCACATATTTGTACATCAAATATACAAATCGTGAATATCAATAATAATAACAATGAATAAATAGGAAAAATAAAAAATCAAAAACAGAAGAGGTCTCACAGATGCAGTTGATTATGGCGTGAAAGAATAAATATAAATTTCATTTCTCAGATATGCCATTATTAGTTATACTAATTGTCTCGATTGATCGCCTTTGGGATTTGTTGCGTGATCGATCAATAAACTCGCGATCATTGATTCGATCGAGATTAAGTATTAGATATGTATTTAGAATCGGATTTATAAAATCAAAACAATAAAAAAATATTAGTTCGAATATATTGTTTGGTATAGTGGACGTCGATTAAACGAAAACGAAAGCTTAAAATTCAAGCTAAGGAATTTCGTATGCATTAAACATTTTTCTCAATCTAACGTTTATATAACATAAGATTATTAAAAATTAATTTCTCTAATGACAAATTAAACGCGCACTTTATGGATGTAGATTTTACCTTTACATGGGAGCGTCTTTACGTATGAGAGAAAGAAACAAGATTAAGTTACGCGCTTAGATCTCTAATATCTTCGTAAGAAATAACGTTTGTAATAAGTTTTGCGCGAGCATTATTTCTTCATGAAGATTAACCGATAAAAATATATACCTTAATGTTTCGATAAAACATTTATTACAAATTTGTATTTCAGTATTGTTTGGCCTTAGCTTGTTATCCGCGTTAATAACGTCGAGAAAACTAAGGCATAAATGCATTTAATTATTTTTCTATTTAAAATCTGAGATCAAAGAATGGCTATAAATTTGCTTCTATTGAAAAGTTTAGAAAGTTTAGAGAATTTAGAATCAATGGGCGCGCATTAATATAGACATCAGTTTTTTTTTATTAAATTATATTTATTATTAATGAATAAATTACAATGAAGTACTTAATGCATACGTATATAATGCACAATATCTTACATAATTTTATCCTAAAGTGAATATTAATCAAAACTTTATGTAATAGAATTTATAATAGATTTATAATTTATATAATTGTATATCACTTTAAAGGTACGGAATTATTTGGAGGTATAATTTATAAAGTAACAATACATTATAAATAATCGTAGACATTTCAATTAGTATAATATCTCAATGTGCAACATAAAAAACATGAAATTAAGATTATCATTTAATCTAATAGCGTCTACAATTCTTTTATAAATTAATATTACTAACAAAACGTTAGTTTGTACAGAGAGAGAGAGAGAGAGAGAGAGAGAGAGAAATAAAAGGAATGAAAGGTAAATAAATTAATTTGCTATTAAAGATCCTAAAATGGTTTTTTTTTCTTCAATAAGTTAAACCTGAGAATCGATCATGTTAAGCTGACACACTCGACGCACTTATCTATAAAAGCTTTACTAATACAAAAATTAAAAAAAAAAATAGATTTTAAAGTAAAAGAAAAAAACTTTAGAAAAGTATCTTACACCAAGGTCATGATTCTCCCTTAATTGCATATTTATTTTTTCCATTCAGTCGATACCACAGCGTTTAGTAATAAAATTTTAATACCTAATATGCATTTTCAAACATTATACATCAATATACCGATTATATATATATATATATATATATATATATATATTGTTGCATTACTCTTGCAACGTTAAACAAATGAAGCTGATGAATATCCATTTGGTTCATGGATTTGCGTAAGAAGAGTGACGATTCGATATTAAAATGAGAATAATTATATAATGGAAGAAGGCAGTGGATTGTTGTCAATATCTCAAAACAAAGTAAGTTAAGTTTCATTCTAGAATTCTTAAAAATTATAAATTAGTACCAAAAAGTTCAATTTCATTATATTATTTAAGATGGAAATTTACAAAAAAAAAATATTATAAAATTTTTAATTTATATTCAATTTCATTTACTTAACTGTCTTATTCGACTTCAAAAAATCATAATAATGAGTGAAAACCACGAGGTTGGAAAATTGTTTCGTTACATCGAATAAAAGCTCAATATACATAATACACACGCGCATATGCATGTGTGGATGCGAGTTTGTAGGGATGTGTGCCTAATTATTCCATAAAAAGGAAGAGTTCCTTGCGAGTTCTTTTGATCATTATTTATATAAATTACGGATTTATTGACAATGGAGTGTAAGATTTGTACATAATAAATAATCTGCGATGTCGGACGATTCAGATTATGATGTGGAACATGAGGAAATTGATGTTTATAAAAGAAAATACCAATTGTTAGCCGAACGATGCGAAGTTTTACAACAAGTTTGTTCGATCTCTATGCACGTAAGCTTCAATTTTTTGTAATTTAGTTATTGGTAAGACATTATATATTTTCAGGATAACGAACGTCTGGTTCATCGAATTCAGCGAGTCAGAAAATTATTAAAACGGACGAAAAAGGAAAAAAAGTAAGCTCTTTATTGTCTTTATTATTATTATAGGTTATGTTTTTGTTTTCATCGCGATTCCCTACTTAATTATTAATGCGAATTCTTTTCTAATAAAATCCATATTTTTATATGAATTTTTGGCATTGTAGCCTTCCACGTAATAAAATTGTGCGATAAAATTATTAGGCTTATGAGAATAAAAATTCATTTACTTATTTATAATTGAAATTATAATATTGAAGAAATAATAACTGTGAAAATAATTTTCATCGACGTAAGGAATGGAATTTTATTTTGATATAAATTTTTTAAAGCGTTTTTATGTAGATGGACATTATGAGAGCGAGTAGTAGGCGATTAAAATTGATGGATTATATTAGTCTTGAATTGAATAAGAATTAAAAATATATCTTCTTCATAATTGTTATTTTACATTAATTTAAATTTATCAGAAATTTGTGACGTACGATATTTAATATTTTAGCAATTATTTCAATTTATTGCAGATATTTAATTAATCGTCTCGATCAGCATGGTGACAGATGGAGGGAAGCACCCATGGGTGTGCTGGAGGAGAATAGTATATTTCAAAGTACACCAAAGCAGGATAAGGGCTCAAAGTCGGCTTCTAATAATATTAAAGAAGAGAAACCGAAGAAGGGAACGAAAAGAAAAGGAACAAAAGCCGATCCGAATGCTCCAAAAAGGCCAGCCAATCCATTTTTTCAATTTTGTCAAGAACAACGGCCTCGCGTAATGGAGCGTTTAGCTGGCGAGCCTGAACCGAGTAAGCAAGAACTTACGAGACAGTTAGCAACAACGTGGAAATCACTTAGTTCCGAAGATAAAAAGGTTAATATATTAATATACGCTTATAAAGCATATTAAATTTTTTTTATTTAATCAACGTCATTTATTTGCCATTGCTTTTATTATCGCAGGTTTATTATGATATGTACGAGCGATCGAAAGAGAAGTATGTTGCCGAAATGCAAATTTACAATAAGAAAGCAGAAGATACTCCGCAACAAATGTCCTTAAATGTATCTTAATGTATGATAAATCTGTACATAGTAATAAAATTTTTATATCTCCTATATATATATATATATATATATATATATAAATATGCCATTCTAAGTAATATTATGTCAGAAGAAATTGTTGGTTATTTTTAACTTCACTAATATAATGTATAAAGAAAGTATTTATAAGTAATTAAAAATTAATTTTTAAACAAACACCTATTTTGCCCTCAATTATTTCATTGTCATTAACGTTTGAGCGATAATTTTTATTTGAAAATTTCATTTTTACAAGGAGTATTTGATCGACTTGTTAAATCAAGTTTACGGAAATGATGAAAATTAGAATATTAATTTTGCATATCTAACGCTCGACTTTATTATTTATTGACGTTCGTTAACTTTATTTGTATTTACGTTAAACGGCATAGGAACGTCAAGAAGCGGCACTGCCAACATTATTAAGTTGAAACCTAATTATTAACCGAGGAAACATGGCGCGAGGCAGTAGCGCTGGTTTTGACAGGCATATTACAATTTTTTCACCCGAGGGTCGTCTTTATCAAGTGGGTACGTATCCAAATTAAAATCTTCATTTATTAACAATGCTCTTCTGGCTGTTAAAAGAGCTTTTTCCATATTCGCCTCGGCTAAATAATCCATTTAGTCGACCGCTGAATTACAGTGTGGCGTGATCTGCACTTTTTTCAAAATGTACAGCAACGAATTTTGTTATTATTGTAAATGTTAAAACATTTATTTTTGCAGAATATGCTTTCAAAGCAATTAACCAAGGTGGTCTTACGTCGGTTGCGGTCAAAGGTGTTGATACCGCTGTCTTTGCGACACAAAAAAAAGTGCCCGTAAGTAGGTGGTTATAGTAACCTTATTTCATGTAAAATTTAATCAAATAAACCAAATATAAGAAATGTTTCATTTGATATTCAACTGTCAATATTGTTAAGAAAAGAAAATGTGTTCTAGGATAAACTCTTAGATGCTACCAGCGTTACACATTCTTTTCGAATTACAGACCACATTGGCTGTGTTATGACTGGAATGATCGGCAAGTTTGAACAAATTATATTTACTCGCTCGTATAAAGTATCTAATAAAACTCATTTAAATGCGTATGGGTTCTTTATAATGGGATCTAACATCTTTTATTTGAATTTATTAAACGTTTGTCCTACTCTCGCCATTGCTTTGATAAATAAATCGATATGATAAGATTCGTGTCTTTAAGGTATCGCGGACTAACGATAACGTTTGTTTATTTTGATCGAATACAGCTGACAGCAGATCGCAAGTACAGCGAGCACGTTACGAAGCTGCACATTTCAAATATAAGTATGGATACGAGATCCCTGTTGATACGCTATGTAGAAGGGTATCGGATATCAGTCAAGTTTATACCCAAAATGCCGAAATGAGACCTCTCGGCTGTTCGATGATGTTGATAGCTTACGACGTTGAAAAAGGTCCGTGCATTTACAAAGCCGATCCAGCTGGTTATTTCTGCGGTTACAGGGCAATTTCTACAGGTGCAAAGCAAACCGAAGCTAATTCCTATCTTGAAAAGAAGCTGAAGAAAAAACAAAATTATGACTTTGAGGAAACGATTCAACTCGCAATTATTTGCTTGTCAACGGTTTTATCGGTGGACTTTAAGCCCACTGAATTGGAAGTTGGCGTCGTATCAAAGGATAATCCTAAATTTAGGTACGTAGAGGAAATGAGTATATGTAGAATGTACTGACATAGTCTTTCCAAATTAATAAAGAAATTGAAAATTATTCTTATTTATTATTTCATTAACAATTTCTTTAATATGTAGGCAAACATTGAATTAGCATGATTAATCGAAAGTTCAATGTTACCGTTGCATTCGAGGTTTTACTATTTACTTGGTGACACAATAATAAAATTAATTATTTTAAAATAATTATTCTACTTCCAGAGTCTTAACCGAACAAGAAATTGATAAGCATCTTACGGCTATCGCTGAAAAGGATTGAAGATTGATTAATAAGTTAACAAAAAATGTACTTTTTATGTAAAACTTTATATACTTATTAAAATTTCATTACCAAATATACATTTTTTTGTTAAAATCTAAATAAAAACAACATTTTTGTGAAAGTATTGAAAGAATTTATTAAAAGATTTTAACTTATTACTATTTATTTATTAGTTAATATTTGTGATTTTCCCATTATTTCCCTGAAGCTGTAGCCAATGGATTTCGTACGACCAAAATCACTGAATCGCCTCGTAAGAACATTTTAGAAATAAATCTGTCTTTGTTCACTGGTTTGGCCTAAAACAAATGTAATAGCTGTCATTACGGAACATGGAAGAAACAACGATCTGGACGAATGAATCGTTAAGTCATTAAAAATAATCATAAAACTCTCCATATTATATACATTGCACATATTATTTATGTATGCAAAATGCAAAATGCAAGCGTTTTGGTAGAGGAAATAGAAAAGACAATATACTCGTACGACTTACTTATTTTTAACTATTCGAACGATCCTCGACAACAAACGAACTCGTTAATTAATACATGAACGCTTTTTTAAATAAAATGAATCTTCCCATACTCTAGATCGTTTAATTAAAGCTTACGCATTTAAAATCCCCTCTATTATTTTCCAACTAATCCAACCTAAATAGATACGTACTTTCTTTTTTCCTTTGCCAGTTCTTGGAAGCTCTGTCCACATTTCTTTCACATTTTCCAAGACCATATTACAATGCCTGTCAAAAGCTTTGACACGTCCCAGTAACTTTTTATTATTTCTACAATTAATCAAAACTTGAGTATTGTTTTTCACAGACTGCGTTAATACAGAAAGCGGTCCTGTGTTGAATTCCTCTTCTTCTCGTTTTGCCAATTCCTCTGGAGTCATCTCTGACTTTGGCTTTGTTAAAGAAGTCCTTGAAAGAGAAGTCATTCATCTTAGTCGAGTTGAAATAAACTTTATAAATATAACAATTCACAAATACGTAGTATGCAATTATGTGAAATAAAGAACGACTTAAACAAAATAAACATTATTGTTGCATTGTCGTTGATTTTGTCTTATGGAAATATTGCATCAACTAGATATATGATATTTACAAGAGGAGTACTTACATTTTATCAATTTATACAATACTGTCTATTTAATAACTTAACTTAAATAGGCAAACGTTTGTGCGCTTATATGCTGTTTACGAGCGTAGGTATATATATATTTATTTATATTTATATTTATATTTATATTTTTATCTATATCTCTCTTTCTCTCTCTCTCTCTCTCTCTCTCTCTCTCTCTATATATATATATATATATATATATATATATATGTATGTATGTGCGGGCACGCGAGGTATTGTATTGTATCTGCGAAACGATAAACGAAAGATGCAAACTTAGGTTAAATCGTCGTAATAATCGCGTCGCTGCTCTTCGTCGTCTCCTTATCGATGAAACGCCGATCAACCAAAGAATAATAACTTTCCCGAGCGTGGGTCCGAGTGTGCGTGCGCACGCGCATTATAACGAGTGGTGACGCGCGCGCGTTCATTCCACGCAAACTCAACCCAGAGAAGCGATAAAGAGCGCCGACCAATGATTTGTACGATCGTTGTTGCTGGTTAATCGATGGGAGGTAGAGCGGATGGCATCCCGAGCCATAACCGGTAACTTTAAACAAGGAGCCTCAAAGCTCCCTCGCTAACCCCGCGCACGCAATGTGACATTTCGCGAAATATGTTTAACGGAGGAACATTTTGACGGCTTCGAGAGGACCCGTTGTATGGGCATTATTTATGAACGCGGGTCAGCGCGACGAGCACGATTAACGATTAAAGAATACAAATTACCGAACGCTTTTATCGGGTGAAAGTCGACGTACCGAGCGCTTCCAGCCCCACTCCGCTTTCTCCATAAGAAATATTTGAAATTTGAGCTGTTAGCTGAGGCTACTTGAGAGGGCCGATCATTAAAATTTTTATCATTAAACTGTAGTGACTCTGTGTGGCATTATATAATAATTTCGAGTTGGCTTTAAGGTGCATTAATGCAAATGGGTAAGATGGATAGTCGTATGGTGACGATACGTGGGTGAAAGGTGGGAGCTTGGAATGCGAATACGTCGTTGTCAACCTTTGCGAGCCGCTCAACGATAAATACTACGACGATTCTCCATCGGCTATTATCGTTGTCGCGGTGCTCCTGCTGCTGCTGCTGCTGCTGCTGCTGCTGCTGCTGCTGCTGCTGCTGCTGCTGCTGCTGCAGCAGTGGTCTTCTTAGCGGTCTACGGTAGCGGCAACCATCCACGCCAATAGAAAACTTTGGCGCGGAGAAAGTAGTACGAGTTTGAGGTATTTTACCCCGTTGCTACAGACAGTTCGTCGTCGTCATCGTCGTCGTCGTCGTCGTCGTCGTCGTCGTCGTCGTCGTCGTTATCCATGATAGCCCGACATTATATTTTGCCGACTGGCGCCAGCGAGTTTGGCCTCTTTCTTGCAATGTGGGTATGTCGACCGACAGCCGATAGCGCGAAGCCCGCACTTATCGGCCGAGCTCCGAGTCGCCAGCGTCGCCGTCGATGAGAGCTCGAGTCGCGCAGTGCACACTGGTGCGGGCGAGCGGTGCTGCGCTCGTCGGTGCCGCGATCGCGGAAGTCCGGAGTGCGCGATCCTCGGCTCCGCTTCGTTGTCGGCCTCGTCCTCGGCGGCTCTTCGGGGGAGACGTCGAAGGCCGAGCGCGAGGACGGAAGGGTGTCCTCCAGCACGCGAACGCGCGAGCCTCGACTTTGCGTCGGTGGTGTATCCAAGGGGTGTACGGCTGGCTGGGGGGTGGGGCGGGCGGTGGTCGTCGCGAGGTCGCGGGCGCCAGTAAGGACGGCGGTGAGTGAGATGCCAACGAGGAGCTGACGGCGAGTCGCTCGCTCGCGTCGCGACGACAAGGACCGACGTCGGGGGCTGAGCCGAGGAAGAGAAGGAGGTGTTGGTGTAGGAGCACGAGGAGGAGGAGGAGGAGGAGGAAGAGGAGGAAGAGGAGGGGGAGGAGGAGCAGGAGGAGCAGGAGGAGCAGGAGGAGCAGGAGGAGCAGGAGGAGCAGGAGGAGGAGGAGGATAGAGGAAAAGAAGGAGGTATAGGAATAGAAGAGAGACGAGTAAAGGTGGCCGCTGGTGCGCAACGACGGGGGACAAGAGCACAAGGTTATATTGACGGAAGAGTGCGAGGAGAAGGAGGAAGAGGAGGAGGCGACGAAGGTGGCGGTGGTTAGTGGGGTTAGGGAGGGAGAGAGGCTTTCGTTCTCCTCTATCTTTCGTCCCATGCGGGCGGCGTGGCCTCGACGGGGAGAGGCTGGTAGCCAGTGAAGACGGCAACGACAACGGGAGCATGGCAGACTTCGACGCTATTTACGAGGAAGAGGAGGAGAGCGAGCAGAACTTGGAGGATCACTACGTGACCATCGTGCCCGATCCCATTATCATTCGCGGCGCTGGCAATATGACCGTGTAAGCCGAATTCCTACTCGTCCCCCAGGGCGAGCTTTACAATTTTTTGCCCCAATCGCTACTACCAGGATCACGACGACGACCACCGCTGCTACCGTTGCTATCGCCCCTACCGCCCCGACCGCTGCGACCGCTGCGACCGCTGCGATCGCTGCTGCCACAGCCGCCGCTGTCGCTGTCGCTGTCGTCAGCGAGCTCGTTTGCTTAATTATTTGTTGTCGCATTTGTTTGCCTCATTGTGCTTGCTTATTCGCTTGTGCGACTTCGGCTACTTACCGCCCCTTCCTCCCAACGCCTTTTTATTCATTTGTTGGCTGTATTAATTTTGATAATCACGAGTTCTCGGCGGGTTCCTCGTCGACTGGCTTCGCCTAAATTAATGCATAGGCGACGAGCCTCGGAGGTCACCTGCACACACGTATAAGCAACAAGAGGCAGACAAGTGCGGAGAAGCTCGTGAATCTTCTTGCGATCGTATACTCCTATCGAGCGATAAAATATAAAATAGTGATAAAGTGGCGGACGATCGGCTTCGTCAAACATAATCGGCTATAAAATCCACTGGCCGGGGGCTCCTCTTGGTCTCCTTGTTACTCCTCCCTTTACCGTTACGGGGGGGGTTTTTTTTTTTTTTTTTTTTTTTTTTTTTTTTTTTTATGTAACAACAGGACTGCTATTACAACGCGTATAATTACGAGCTAAAACGCACGGGAATTAGCGGTGCGTGTGAGTCTTTGTCTTGTTTTCAATCTTCTTCAAACCCGCCTTTTGCTCATCTAGTGCTCTCTCTCTCTCTCTCTCTCTCTCTCTCTCTCTCTCTCTCAGGCACATTTGCTCAATCGCTCGTTCGGTCCGTCTGTTTGTCTCTTTGTCTCGCTCTCCATAGCGCTCCCTCCCTCTTATAAAACAACTGAAACTTGCCAAAGACACCAATTTACGGACTCCTCCAGACAACAAAGAATCGACATTCACTGTTGATGCTTAAATAAATTCACTTTCTTTTCTTTTTACTTGCAAACTACTGATTTTATTCTTCGTTTCCTTTATTTTTCTTTTGATTTTTATCCTCTTCTTTCTTCGGTTTTACCTCTTTTACCCAATTACTCTGACTGACGGTTGCGACGTCAGGGCTGTTTATCATTTTCGTTAATTGTTGGTAAAATTTGAAAGTCTTAATTGCCTTTTAGTTGCTACCAACACGTCGTTTCCCAAAATAACGACGAGAAGTGCATCGAATACTTCTATTATGAAAATCCTATTGTCAACAACGGCATTAAAAAATTTCGGCAAAATTTGATTAATCACGGAATGAATTTGTGCGAATAAACGTAAAAGATAAAATAAACAATCCTAAAATGTTATTCGTAAAGATAAAGACGCGGTGAAGATAAATCTTTGAAACATCGTGTTAAAATAAACTCCTGCATTTACATGAATATCTCCCTCCCTCGCACGCGCACGCACACCCGCGCGCACACACTCATTTATTTTGGAACAACGCTCTACTTTACAGCCATTTTATGAATCATATTGAAAAATATACAGAAAGTATGTGAATCATTTAGCTTCTGAACGTTTCTTTAACTTACAATGCTGTTTATCCGTCACTTAATAAAAACAATTTAAATGGCAAATAAACATTTAGATTATTACGAAATGACATTCTCCTCGTATAGCAATAATGAAATTTTAAAAATAACATAAAGCGGACAATAATAATCAATAATATATTTGTCATTTATATTTATCATATTTATCGTCTCGATGTATGCACATTGTGCGTGCATTAACGATTTTTGGTATTTAATAATTTTTGTTTTGTTTTGTTTTGTTTTGCTTTGCTTTGCTTTGCTTTGCTTTGCTTTTTAAATTCCTTTATTTTATTTCTATTTTCTATATACAATCTATGCTCCATCTCTGTATTATGTTAATAAATTATTTGAATTCTCACGATCCAGCGGTATTAATATAAATAATTATTCTTTATATTCTGCTTAAACATTTAATCCAAAATTTTCTCATATTCTCATCTGCGCAAATATTTAACCGAATGGATAATTCAAAGGCATTAGAATTAAATCTTCTCGCGACAACATATTTGCCAGTTTGCTCTCTCACTCCTTTAAGGTCATTTATAATCGATTGTACAAAGAATTAAAAGCGGCCCAACGAAACATTGATTTTATTGATTAATATTGATATGCTATGTAAGCGACTGTCGTTTTACTCTGTTGTTAATAATATTAAAATTTTATAGTTTAATTGTGTATATCGATATTTGCAATTACAATTCATTCCCGAAAATTTGATTCTCTTAGACTCGATTTTATTTATAATTATTTTCGACAAACGCATTGGTTGCTACATTTAACATTGATTTAACATTGCTATTTTGAAATGTTAAAATAGTACTAGGTTTTGTGGAATAATACTAGATATAAAAATGTTATTCGTTAAACATTTAATAAGAGCGTATGAGACAATAAAAGTGCAAAGTCTTATTGAAAGTTTTTCATCTTGGTTGTTTCATTAGAAAAAATGGGAAAATTTGTCACAGTGCTTATTATACTCTCGGTGAAATAATCTGAGGAGCATCGTCGTACATTATTTCAACAATATTCTCTTACCAATGGTTGCTTATATACATGAGAATACACATGTTTTTATAGCCTATTTATATGATATCTAAAAGTTTTTAATTGCTAAAGCTGCTCTTTGCGATAATAAAGTGACTATTACATTTAATTTGTCCTGTTTATTTAGATTTGGTCTGAGCAACCGCTTTGAATCAGAGTTTCCCAATGGCTTGGTATCTCGTGTTGCGCCAGAGGAATTCAAAGCAACGGTTATGCGCATAAACAATGTCCTGAAGAAAACTCTCCCTGTTAATGTGAAGTGGTTATTCTGTGGTTGCGTTTGTTGCTGTTGTACATTAGGCTGTTCCTTATGGCCAGTTATATGCCTCAGTAAAAGGGTAATCAAAGCACATTTTATAATTAAAAATTGATTCCTCTATAATATGTTATAGGTGTCTATCGAGCGAACCTATAATTTACATAATCTTTTCTTTTCTAGACTCAACACTCGCTTAATAAATTGCTAGAATGGGAAAATAGTAGGCTATACCATAAATTGGGCCTACATTGGAGACTGACAAAACAACGATGTGATAGTTCTTCAATGATGGAATATGTAAATTACTTGTCTTTTTTTTTTTTTTTTTTTTTTTTTTTTTATATATATATATATAGACATTTAAGCATAGGGTTATACCAAATTATTACCTCGATATTACCCATTTCAGGTGCTGTTAATCGAGTTTATCCCAAAAATACCGATATATAGACCAGATTAGATAGAGGAGTGCAAAATTCGAAATTGCGAAAGAAAATTAGAGAATCGAGTAACGATGATGTTGCTGTTCGCCATGCTGTACGTTACATCGACAAATGCATCGTGAAGGGGATCGCTTTGATCTTTACCTTGATATCAATTTATGCATTTGGTAATGTAAATCCTTGTATAAAATGCGTATTTTTGTAAATATAGTGTATAGCCAAGCACAGTACAATAATTATACAGATACAATAGCTAAGTGAAAAGTATTTGCGTATAGCTAACGATAAATATTGGCAAAGGATGTAGCGCACCTTTTTTTGTTATTTTTTTGTTTTTAACAAGTTTCTATGTTGATCTCGTTACAGTGAAATTTTTTTTTTTTTTTAATACAGCGAATTAAAACACGATAGTTTATATCGGAAGAATTTAAAAAAATCCATTTTGATAATTGTATATTAATGGTTAAAAAGTAATACAATTTTGTTCCGATTGTTTACAATATTGAATTTAAAAAGGTTTAATCTTGGTAACGGCTTTGCTTAATTAATTAAGATTGAAAGTCTTAGACACGCGTCATTCGCCACTCGTCATTTAGTACTTTAACGTACTTGAAAAAATTGAAAATCTCAGTGATAGTTGATCGTGAAATTTGTAAGTAAGGGAAAAGAAAAATTGTACATATGTATACAATAATGGAAATTCCAAATCGTAGCCTTGAGTTATTTACATAATTACCACGGTGATATTAAAGAGTAATGCAATATTATATGCTGATTCAAATCTTAAGTTGAGAATAAAATTTTTGATAAAATAACCTGTTAAACCAGGACTTGATCTGAAACATCGAAGTTATTGTACGACTGAACTTATTGAAAAGCGACGGTCATATATATATTATCTTAAATATGAATTTGCATTTAAATAGAAACGCTGATACTTTCGACAATGTTTCGGCGAAATACGGCAATTAAGCAATTACGTTGCTTATAACTTTTTGTCCCTTGTTTACCCAATGAAAATTTGGTAATTATATGTAATAATAACGTATTGTTTGTTGGATATCAAACGACACTTCAATAATATTATGGAATTTTCAAAATTATTGAAAACTAAGAATTGTTAATAGAATAAAATTGTTTTCAGGATCATTAAATAATTTTCGTATTATTCCATGTCTATTGAACAATGCAGCTAAGAAAAAAGAATTAAAAAAAAAAAAAAAACGAAACGAAATAAATGCAAATAAGCCTATTAAAGGTATTTATAATTTTGTCTTTTTAACATACCGTTATACAATAAATCTATTATTTTGTCAATTTGATATGGTGTTGAAACATTCAGCAATAAGATATTTGCGATGAAATTATTTCATTGAAAATGGTGTCTAACAAACAAGCGTTTTGATAATTAAGAATTATTCTTTTCTATTACAATGTCATTAACGATTGAATACAAATGCAGTCCTCTCTATCCGAGAAGTTTATTTATTTCTTCGGGATCAATTCAATTTTCAATATCTTAACGATATTTGTCGAATGGAATTTGAAACTAGGAAAATAAATACGTATGGCGGCTCGGTTTTTAATTAAGTTACAATATATTTTGTAATAAAGGGGGCTGTGATGAGAGTAGAAGACTAGAATTTTTTTGATAAATTTGAATTGAAAATTATGCCGTCAACAAAATATAATGTAGGGCTGGAAATAATGATTCTGCACATTTGTACATTATTTTACAAAATAATAAATTATTCAAATTGCTTATTCCGCAAGGTCTAGTAAGAATTTTAATTGAAATTCAAAATAATTATTTGTCTCGCTTATGAATTAAATCTCTTTTTGACCAAACAGATTTCTAAGAATATACAAATAACTATTTAATCTATTTAATTTTTCTTTTTCATTCATTTTGAACTCTCAACGTGTTTTACTTTCCTCGTACATTATTGAAGAATGTAAGAAATAAAAAATTAATTAATTTTATATAATTCTAAAAAAAATTTCAATCTATATTATTTTTCGTTTCAATATATATATATATATATATATATTTATATACACACACACACACACACACACACACACACACGTTATATAATAAAAAAAATAATAAAAAAAACTTAAGACTTACTTATAATTTTTTGGGACGTTATTGAGCAAAAACCAATTACGAGCACGAATGAAACTATAGAATATGTTAAATTAAAATAATTTTTAAAATTAAATGTCTTACTTTAATAAAGAAATATCCAGCCCAGAAATAATTATAATACGATTAATTAATTGTTACTGTAGTTTTATTAATATAATGAAATAATTGTAATTAACATGATCTGGACAAGAAGTCGTCAAACTATATAAGTTTAATAACGATGGATAATATTAGAATAGATTAGTAAGTGTTAAAAAGAAAAAATAAAAGAATGAAAAAAGAATGAAACAGAAGATGAAAACATTCGACTAGAAAGATTGTATGTTATAATTTTTGTGCGACTTTTCAATAACCACTGCCAAAGGATAATATTTTTCTCCTTCTCCCTTTTAATCTGTCGGTTTCGTTTTCGCCTTAGCTTATGGTTTTCCAATAAAACACTAGTTAAACGATATCTACGCACTAACATAATCATTAAAGACAAGTCGATATAGAAGTCTAATAAAAGTATACGACAGAGAATGTAAATGGTAGATTTGATAATAAAAAAATAAAAATAAAAAAAATAACAACAATAATAATAATAATAGAAATATAAAAAAAAAAAATTAATAAAGTAAAGAAAAATAAATAAAATAAGATAAAATAAAATGATAAAACGTTTAATCTGTACTAATTGATGTATGAATTTTTGAGCTTTTATTTAATAGTTGATTAATCATTGCAATCAATGAAATTAAGGAGTCGTACGGAATAGAAGAATATATAATAGAATTTAGAATGAATTTTCGCATGTATCTTGCTCATTTTTGCACTTCGAATATTCAATTTAATGATTTGAAGTGAAATTCATGCTTAAAATTATTTGTGGTTTATGCGATAGAAACGCAAAAATGTACATTACATTATTACCAAGCAGATGTGCATAAGAAATTGAAAATTTAGCAATTTAATTGATAAGCAAGAAAAATATATATCTTAAGAGATAGGTTAGATTATTTATTGAGTACAGTAATAACGAGTTTTTCTTTATATATGGAATAACATTTTTGCCATTGTATGTAGTTTAACATGTGCCTTTCGCTGGTTGAATATAAAAGAATAAAATTTTTAGCATTTAGAAGTAATCGTGCAAAGAATATATTGACCGAGCATTAGTATAATTATTTGAAGAACAAAAAAAAAAAAAAAAAAAATAAATAAATAAAAACCCGTAAACAAGCAAGAAAAACTTTTTTTTTTTTTTAACTTTTAGCTTAACGTATTTATTATATTTTTATTATACAAATTGTACATACGTTGATATTGAATTTTTATCATCCGAAACAATAAGATTCCGAGTAGAATTTATTTGACCGTTTCTTTACGTGAAATAAAGCTGGAATTGAAAATATTTTCTCGTCGTTAATCAATGTACACGAGTCGCGTGTAAATTCTTGTAATCCTTATTATTATTATTATTATTATTATTATTATTCTAGATCATTGTTACACAGCTAGCCTGATAGAAATATATTTTAAATAATATACACAAAAATAAATAAATAAATCGATAAATTGTTGATAATAAACAACTGCTTCATTATTCTTCGTATAACTTAATTGTATGTAGAAAACGTAGCATATCATCGAGATTCAACATACAGCCACAAAAATATCAATAAATTATGTCAAGAATTCGATGAAGTTTTAGAAAACTATGTACCTAAAATGTGAAAATAATAAAAGGCAGATCATATATTACTAAATATATATATTGTTATTATTATAGCACCCGAGGTCGGATCGACTATTCAAATGTCATTATGTATAAATACATAAGATTCTATTGTATGAAAATAATATCGAGCAAATTCAAATAGAAGCACTTTCTTTATTGTTACAATTTTTATTTTCAATTTTGTATTTTTTAAAGCCCTTTTTAATCTCATGAAATGATCAGCTAAAATTTTCATAGTAAAATAACAATAAAGTACTTGTTTGTAGGATAATTTGCATTTTCACGGACTATACCCAACAATTATCCGATTGCTTATCAAAGTATTAATAAATAGTCGTTCAGAAGAGAATTTATAAAAGACAAAATTTATTTAATATTCGTTTTTAGTATCAAATTTGTTTGCAAACAAGATTCGATGAATATTCATTAAACGCATATATAATGATATATCATTGTCATCGTTGTAGAATATATCAAAATCTAATGAAACGTACATACAATTATTGTCTTTGTCCGTTAAACTTAATACGACGTTCGGGAAAAAAAAAGTTACATTACAGCATAATAATAAAACAAAAAAAAACAACAAATTGTTCGTTCAATAATGTTACGGTATAGTAATGCAACAATATAGTGAAAATCACTCGGATGCTTATCGATCTTGAGCATACGATAGGTGAGATGGTATATGGTATTTGAAATTGCAAATTAAAAAGTATATATATATATATATATATATATATATATATATGTCATTATAACAGTTAAGAAAAGGATGTCATAGGTATGTTGTGTTTAATTATAATTTATAGATAATTAAAATACAAGTTGTTCCATGAATAGTGCTGCCGTACATTCTTGGACAATTCGCAATTGAGGTATAATTATTGGGATTGTGAAAAGAAAAAAAAAATTTAGTTTAAAAAAAAATAAAAGCATTTGTAATTATTTGAATGGCATCTTGGGCAATAAATTAATAATGTTTGGCATTATTTTTTACATGTTCAAATAGATGTGAGACGAAACCGTCGCTCAAAGTTTTGCTGCATTGTATTATGATCGCGTGTGTCGTTGCCATTGACACTGATCGTGTATAACGAAAGGGTTTTTTTTTTTTTTTTTTTTTAAATTATCTCAGAGTTTTTTCTTTTTTTTGTTTTTGTTTTTTTTCCTGCGCTGCACACTATATAATTACCATAAAAAAAGTTATTTGAAGAAAAAACGAATTTTTGTACATTTGTCCCACTCGCCCATTCATCCCCTCCACTCCCCCCGTGATCTTGTACGAGAATCATGATTGTCGTATGAATTGGAAAAATGTATAAAGACGCATCACCTTCATCCGAGTTTATAATTAATATACAAGTCTATGCATATAAAAGCCTCGACACGATGAATCGTTCTCTCTCTCTCTCTCTCTGTCTCTCTTGGTTTTTTAATCACTTCTACTTCTGATTGTATTATGTAAAAGGCCGCTTTACCTCTTATTCGTCTTAGGCATTTACCTTTTATTCACTAACCATCCTTAAGAGCCGGGAACATATTGTTTCGTGGTCTTTGTAGTAGCGCAATCGATAAAAGAAAATAGAGAAATTTGGAACAAAGTGTTAAACTAATGCAGCATTAATATCATCACGACTTTCTTTATATACATTCTTATATCCAATTGAGCGCACTTGATATATTAATTCGATATTAATTACTCGATGTGCGTTAATTATTTTACGTACATTGAGTTCTCCGCTGTTTATTCAATGCCGTACGCTCGGCTATGTAATTATACACACTTCTGTCGATAGATCCTCACGAGTTCCTCCTACATTAGTAAAAGCACGAATCGCGAACGTCATTTACGAGGCAAAGCAGTTAAATAATCATGGAGATTTCGAGGCCAACGAGACTACGTTGTTAAGGTATCGCGGTGAGGTGTGAATAAACGAGGTCCACGAGCTTTTCTCGGCAGCTTAAATGGCAAATCGTATTAGATGGCGATTGAAAATGCTGAGGATAGTGACGAGATAATGAAAGCTACGTAGTTAGAGAGAATCATCGATGCATCCATCGACGCATAACCAAAGATCTTTCATTAAATCAGAAAAGTTTTGCCAATTTATGTTCGCATAATTATGAGACGCTTATCTCGCATTAATCAAGCTTGAAAATTATCGGATATTATATTACGAGCTACGATATATTTACTTATGTCGGCCTCGGCTTTCTCTCGTTTTCTCTCCGCACTGCTCGAATATCATGCCTTAGCCATGCAATTTTTCCTTTTCTTTTCTTTTCATATCGATAATTATTATCGATCGCAATAGCCGAGTCACCTAGTTAC